GGTTGGTATAGGGTTTGTTTCAAGTTTTCCTTCTCTTTGCAGTGCTGTTGTCCTGCGTAGTTTGTTCCCTTAGTCGGCTCTTCCGATACCCACGGGATGAACAGGGCTCGCGACATTCCGTATTCTTAATCCGTCACCACAAGGATAAACTATCACATCAACTATATTTCTACTGCACACAACGCTCCTTAATTAGTGGCAACACTGTTCTGTAAACAAAAACAGAGATTGCCAGAAGCTAAAGGGTTTCGCCTATTACAGTAATATAACTATTTGCAAATAGATATAGTCACCAAATTCACATCCGACAGCGCATCGGTGTCAAGGCCGTAATTATTTGCGCTGCTCATCACCCGGGGGCACACGGCGTGAAGATTGTAACAAAAACCTTAAAATTACATCTAAAATCATTAGATGTCATAGTTGTAATGGTTTTTTTGTTGCTATATGGAGTTAATTTTTGGCAAATAGATTCGGCTGTGTCGAGATCAGATCATTATTATATGTCTAGATAGGTATAGTACTTGTCTGTGTGGTGACTGATTAAGAATACAGTGTCAGAACCCCTATTAATAAGGGTAATTAATTGAATAGGGGTGACCCACATGGGACAGTAAACTCCCCTGCGACAGTTTTTTATTCTGTTCGGGATAATTACAGACAGCATTTTTTTAAACATAAGATGTTAAGATAAGACAAGATAAGATGCTATATTCCAAGTGAGAGAGTTGTCTTTAAAAAAAAGTAAATTTAAACTTATTTTTTATTTTATCCCGTAAGTGTCGTAAGAGCCGACTAAGGAAGCAAACTACGCAGGACAACAGCACTGCAAAAAGAAGGAAATCTTGAAACAAACCCTATACCATCCTGTCTGACCAGCGTGTTATAGTAGGCCAAAACCTCCTTTCTATGGAGAGGCCTATGTCCAGCAGTGTACTGTTAAAGGCTGTTGATGATGAGGTATGGTATACGAGGACAAACGAGCAGACGGGTCATCTGATGGTAAGTAACTACCGCCGCCCACGGACATATACAACTCAAAAATCACAAGTGCGTTGCGGATCTATGAGTCCATCCTCCCAGAATCAAGAGGAGATAGTTCAGGATCCGGTGAACTCACTCCCTCAGTGCAAAGAAACGAGAGAATTGCTTAACACCGGTTTTCTGTGAGGCCCTGGTATCACTCCGGTCGAGCTGACCTATTAGTGCTGAAGCCTGGATCACCCGCATAATTTAAGTTCATAATTATTTCCCACTAGCTTTTGCACGTAGCAAGTACGTTATCGCGGTAAAAATTAAAGAATTAAAGTATCATTATATCAAATTTAATTTGAATTGGTTTAGCGGTTATTAATTCCACATACAAACTTCCACCCCCTTAAAGGATAATTTCTGGGATAAAAACTATCCTATGACATTTCCCGGGACTCAAACTATCTCTACTCCAAAATTATTCTCAATGAGTTCAGCGGTTTAAGCGTAAAGAGGTAACAGACAGACAGACACACTGCATTTATAATAATATTATGGATTAGTATGGATCGAAATCCATTATTTTATATGTACAATGCCAAAGCATTGTACACTTAAATGACTTTCCCACGGTACTATTGTCGAACTGTTGACCCTTAACTTTCTATCCGCTGTTGCTATTCACAAGCCTTTGCACAAAGTAAATTTGTTTGTTACGCTTCCACGCCTAAACCACTAAACCGATTTTAAAAATTCTTTTACTAATTGAAAGCGACATTATTATCGAGTAACATAGGCTACTTTTTACCGCGATAACCGATACACGCGAACGGAGCCGCGGGCTAAAGCCAGTCTTAAATAATAATAGCAGAATATTGTTGTGAAAATTTAAAAAATTAACAAAAAAAACCTATTGAAAATTATTTTTCTCTTACATTGTGTATGACACAAAACATAGAAAAAGTGCGGAGCTACAGCTAAAAACGCAGGTTTTGAGAGAAAATTCAAAATATAAATACTACACGGATTTCGATTCTTACATGGGACAACACTTCGTGTGATCCACAAATTGTTGTTCTGAATCTTGGGGTTCTTTGGGTCCGTTTCATGTATGTTTGTAAAGTCACCCGCGACACAGGATATATTCCTAGTCCGGGCGTTGTTTTTAGTAAACCAACCAAAGCCAACTGTCACAACACTAGCGAGAATTAGAAAAAAGGTAACTGTCATTCTTTACACTGTCTAGATTAGTATTATGTAAGTCGATATATTGTAAACAGGTATGTTATTTGGAAATTTCTCAGGTTAATACAAATTTGCCATTTCAACAATCAAAGGAAGTGTATTGTAGAGCCGCAATAGCTATTTACTGTTTGAACACTCATTTTTTTATTTATAATTGGTCTACTTTACATAACACGTTTGCAAATAAAAATGAAAGTAACAGTTGCGATTGAAACAAATGTGTAATTGCAAAATTTTACTTTTATGTTGAATTCTTATGAACAATTATTGTATTATTTCATTTAAACGTACATGCAATGCATTATATATACATTTACTAAATACATGACAAATCACAAACAATTTTATAACATTGAAGTAACAATACACTTACCATCACTACCATCAATTAATAAAAAAAGAAGTTAAGAATAGCGCCATCTATGTTTTGAAATACTAAAGTATTAAGTAAATTTAATTTTGCGAACCAAGTAGCGCTGTGAATTGTGCCAGATGTGGCTTTTGAAATTACAAATTTTAGACAACAGATAGAGCTACTTTCTCTCAATGATTTGAAACGTTGTCTAATAGATTTACTAACTAAACAGTGAATTTAGTTTAATGTTATATTATTATGAATAATAATAAAAACTAAAAATATTTTCAACATTTATCTGACTTCAAACCAACTTTTTTGACGCTTGTTTGACGTTTGAGAACTTCATTTAGTGATTGTCAAGCGTCAAATCGTTAGCTACCCAAATTCGATTTAAGTTTTATAAGAATCGGTTAAGATTTTTGTGTGAAAAGATTAGTTCTTTTAATCAGGTATTTCTTGAATGATTAATGTTGTTTGATCTGCATACAGACTCGTACATGTCTTTGTGCCCTAAAGGGTAAAAGAAGCGTATTTAAACGCCTATATTTTGTCGACTATAATTTTTATTCCCATTTACGTAATAAGGTACAATCCTAATGCTGTCAATCGAGCGCATAATATATTTCTAAATAAGCACACTCATATATCTCCTAATATAAATGTGTTAAGGATAGTTTAGATTTTTCTAAAAATTAAAATTATCCTGTATAAAACATATTATTATTAACATTTACGTAATATGTAAGTTTTTAAGTTTTACGTAATACGTATTAAGGTTAATGTATTTTAAGGCTAAATATACAACTAATTTATTTGATACAACAATGAAGGTGAAAAATAAGGGAGGAAATTCTAGTACCTAGTTCAAAAATAAAATGAAATTAAGAATAAAAATTAAATAATATTAAGTTAGAATATTTCCAACATTTACACTATCTACATACAAGCATCAAAAAAATCCTCCGCATCATCACCTACTGGTAGCGTTCCCAGAAGACTGGCAGCATTGCCACGTTGAATGGCAATGCTAATTCTCTGTGCTAGAAAAAGACCAGCCTTCTGATCATGAGAAGTGTCAATCAGTAGTTTAGCTAGCTGTTTATATATAGTACGAGCACTTGGACCCCATGACCCTAACGTTTCGACCCCAGACGGTTCAAAAATGTAATTTCCTAGTAATTTCTGATATTTACGCCGTTTGAGTGTTTCTGCAGATGCAGCAGCAGCGCCTGCGTAACCAGCAGTGCTTGGCAAATGTGATGGCGCAAGGGTGTCGACGCAGGTTTCGTCCCACACCAAAGGCTTACCCATCTTCTATGGCAGTAACGACATACCGTCCGGTCTCTTTCCATCGTCTCGAACCATTGGGTTTACGTACAGCTGGAACGCCGGCGGTAACAAGAGCCCGACGGATAATGTCGTTAATATTGGCATGTTGAGATATACGGCCAGCGCTTCTCCTACAAGAAAGGCCATGATGTCCAAGACTGTCATCAGCTTCTCCGCAGTGACAAAGATGCGGAGAAACACAAGGCGCACCTAAACGAAGACAAGTGGCAAGGCGAAATGTAATATCGTCCAACAAAGTGCCAATGTTGGGCGATGGAAGTGCCTGAATCCATAAGCCTGATTCCCATTCTCCCACAGCTAACAAACGAGCGCGCTCAGCAAGATTTATTGCTGTATTGATCAATGTTTTTTGTTTTAAAATACATAGTGGCGGGTTCCATTATCTCTGAGAGGATGGATGAACAGGTAATATTGTATTGGGACAAGCTATCCGCCAGGTATGTATGGCGTCGGCCTTGCAAGACACTTCAGAATCAACCAGTGTGCTTATTAGAATTTTCCTGGTTAACTCTTCTGTGCCATGGACCGAAGACAGAAATGCTGGAAGGCTGACATCTACAATTTTGCGTATTCTAAGACCACCCAGATGAACTGGTAAGGATGCTTGGGGCCAGGTTCAATCATTAAAAGCTATATTCAACCCTTTACTGAGGGTGTTATTAATAATTTGTGTGGCAGTCTTTTAATAACGAATTATTTTTCTTACCATTTATTCAATCTATTTTTTATCTAAACACTTGAAGAATCGAGTACAATCTAATCGAATAGTGCAAAAATCGATTAAATCGTATCCAAATGTCCCACCGCTCGAGAAAACACTAGTAAAAAGTCACAATTGCTCAATGTTGCAACACGACGTGATCGCTTAATCGGTTCGCAATTCCGTCATTCGAGCGCGATCTCTGTCGTTTTGCCACCGACTTTCGTAAAAAATCACAACAGCGGCGATTATTGTGTTAATATTAAAATAAAATATAAACAATAACTTCTGTATCAGTGTTGCACAGTGATATTGTGTTGTAAGTGTTACCCGAATGTTTTTTTCTTGTGTTTGAAAACAGTGAAGTGAATCAAAATGAGTAATTTTACGAAAGTTATCAAAACTACGCCTATCACTGATGATTATGATATCTCCAACACCGTCCTCGGTCTTGGCATCAATGGAAAGGTGGGTTTTTATTCTTTAAATTACTAAAAAATTGTTTTGGTTTACAAGTTTTTTTGAAACTTCATTTTGTTTACATATGACGTCAAGGTTAAAATTAGCCTCTACCCGTTACTAACTTATTCTTCAACGTTTTTTAGTTTAAAAAAGTTGTGACTTAAATTAAGTAATAAAAGATTTCCGCCAAAAACTTGAATTTTGTCGCAGTCTGCGTCTAAATTTATACTTCGAACTGTAAACTTTACGCTATGAGCGTATTACCCAGAAATAACTATTACGACACGACCTGTACTGAGCTTAAATATTACTAATTCATTTGTCATTCAACATTGTAGCATTCCAAACTTTAAAAAAAAGTTTTAAAAAGACTTCAGTTATAAATTTTTAAATGTACTCTATTGCACAATATTAAAACAAGTTATTAAACTTTTCGTAGTATGTATACAATACATATTGTGTATCATAAACAATAGGTAATGTTTTTCACCCGATTTGAATCTCTCGCTGTATGTATGTTTTATGCATTTGCCTATTTTTGCTGGTAAAGGGAATTTTAAAATATTAATAATTTAAAATTCTGTTTACCAGAGCTCAAACCTCCCCTGGATTCAGGAGGCAGGGGCTCATAGCTTTAATAGAGCCAAAATCCTTGTAAACTTGGATTTGGAGCGGAGGAGCTCCAAGGGTATCAATGGCTAGCAAGCTATGAAGATCAATAGACATATTGCAAATTGTACAAGCAGCGGGAACAAGGCTGGCATTGCAATTTTCACTCTTGAGACATAGGTGACCATAGGTGTTGGTAGTCACTTACTATCAGGTAGCTCATCTACTCATTTTTTGGCCTGCTATACCACACTGGCCAGACGGGTTGGTATAGGGTTTGTTTCAAGTTTTCCTTCTCTTTGCCGTGCTGTTGTCCTGCGTAGTTAGTTTCCGTAGTCGGCTCTTACAACACCCACGGGATGAATTGGAGTGGTGACACTCCGTATTCTTAATCCGTCACCACACGGAAATCACTTCACGGAAATCTGCTTGTCATTTTGTTTTAAGTACTCAAGTTTGGTATTATTTTGAAAAAAAAAACAAATGTATGTTGTCTGTGGATTTATGTGGATACCATAGGTTTTTTTTTAATAGTGAAGCAGACAAAGGAGCCGTCATGTCACCTGCAGTACTATTCTGCAGCACTGCCACAGCGTCGAACTTTAAACTAAGTTTGTTTAAAATTCGATGCTGTATACAAGGCTGTTTTCTTAGAGAATAGAAATAATCAAACTAAGTGATGATAACTGATGGTAAATGACAGAAGTACTTTGTGAACCCTTTGAGTGTTTTCCTTAAGCTCCCCCTCTGGTTGGGATTTCCGGGATTCATACAAACTCATTGTAATCAAAGTATAATTTCAATGATAATGTTATCGGGAAATCCACATTCATAATTGTTTCCAACATTGGTTCCAAGTAACTAAGTACATATTTATCAATGGCAGTTGGGAAATTCTAATCACAAACACTGCATTAACCTTCTATTAGTGTGTTCGGATGAATCACTTTTCAAATGTTCTTCCTTTTCCTATAACATTTTGAGCGAAAATACAATTGGATGGTTCTCTAGGTCTCTGGTCTAGGAATCCAACCCGAGGCCCCATGGACTAATGTATCGCTATGGCTGCAAATGCAATTTCCACGCGAAGGAAGTTGCTGGTGCCAGCTAGTTTTTTAATATGCAGATCAAGCTATGGATCTATAGTTTTATCAATAAATATATTGCACGATTATTTCTTATTTCGTGTTTCTTACTTTGAAATTGACAAACTTCCACACAACCATTCATCCTTTATTTTACCCCCTTATAGGCGAAATTTCGTAAAATCTTTTCTTAGTGGGTGCTTACAACATAAAAAGCATCTGCTGCCAAAATTTCAATATTGTAGCCCCAGCGGTGTAGGCTCAGCATTGATGAATAAGTCAGTAAAGGCAACTGATTTTAAAAGTTACTTTTGCCTAATAAAAAAAAAATAGTTTAAATGATGGATAAAGATCTCATCTGAGTATATTTTAGTCATCAAAGAGATTTACTCTTGCATTCTATTAACACAATGGTTATTAAAGTCATATTGTATGTAGTTAAACATTAATATTTAATATCTATTGTACATACCTTACCTACACCTATTATATTGTACTCAAACATCCCGATGCAATTGAATCATCATCTATATTTAAAACTAAATACTTACTGCAATGTTAAATGTTATTGAACTTGTGGGAGCCATCTTGTTTTATGGGTGACTACTTAATGCATACCAACCTACTTGCTTTATTTAGATTTATTTTTCTTTTTTAGATAGTAAAGTAATTGATTAAAAAAAATAACTTCGTGTCTATGTACACAGAAATATGTCAGTGTGTGACAGTGTCTAACTTATTTCTAAATTTAAAATTTTATATACACTAAGAAGAATTTTTACAATAAAAAAAAATATTTTTAATTCTTAAACTCTGACATCATCCTCCGAGCCTTTTCCTAAACTAGTTCGCGGTTGGCGTTCAGTATAATACGAAACGGATGAACTTAGTTTTTTACGCGGAGCAACTGCCATCAGACCTGCACAAGTATTAGACAATATTGGTTATGTAGATAGACTGCTGTCTGACTTTTTAGGGCTCCAACTATCCCTTTTTTTTTTTTTTTTTCCATATACCACCTGTCGGTGGCATGTCGGACTCGAACCGACTAAAACCGCACGCCGTCTCGGGTACTAATATCCGGGGAACCAGGTATACCCTAGAAAGGAAGTCCATCTCTAACTATCCCTAAGGATGGCCACAGATTTTCGTAAGGCAATTGGGACTGACGGCCTAACGTGTTTACTGAGGCTCGGAGGGGTCTCAATGTGTTAAGAGTGGTCACCCATTCAAAGGCAGTCTGGGTTTGTTTAACTTTGCAATGTGCTACCCTACTCTTTTTTATACCCTTTTATAAACAATTTATCTGACCCGCGTAACTTCATACGTCTCTCAAAAGGAATACGTTTTCATGTTTTATAGCCTACTAGTCCTTGTGGTGACGGATTAAGAATACAGAGTGTCACCACCCCTATTCGTCCCGTTGGTGTCGTAAGAGCCTACTAATGGAGCAAACTACGCAGGATAACAGCACTGCATAGAGAACGAAAACTTGACACAAACCCTATACCAACCCGTCTGGCCAGCGTGGTATAGTAGGCCAAAACCTCCTTTCTAAGGAGAGGCCTATGTCCAGCAGTGGACTATTAAAGGTTGTTGATATTTGATTGATAGCCTACTAGTTTTACCCACTGCTCCAACCGCGTGTATGTTGGTTATCGCGGTTAAAAGTAATTTATAGCACTCAGGGCGATCTTAACTAACAATAATTTGCAGAGGGGAAGCAGGTACGTCAGAGAAAAAACATAACAATCTCATCAGAAGACATCTGTTTATATTAATCGCAGAACCCCTTATCCGCATATCATCATAATATTTCTCATAAACGCGGTACTTGTAAGTACCAACAAGTTTCCCATTCAAACATATTTTTATTACTTATATTTGAAAGTTTATAAAAAAATACACCTTATATACTCGAACCTTATTAACTCGAATTAGTACCTTATAGAATGAAAAGAAATGCTTTCGGTTTTGCTCTACTTTGATAGATGGCGTTGTCGTCGAATTAAATCACGCTATAGTTTCGTTCACATTAGATGGGTGTTTGTAGGACATATTTCCTAATAAAAGTAAAATCTATGGTTTACAAATAGTTGCTACTCAGTTCTTGTTCTAGTTTTTTTCTGGTGTTACATAATTATTAGTTATTTTCAACTATTCGCGTAGTATAATTCAAGTTTAGTTTAGATTGTACAGAATTACATATAAGTTCTCTTAAGTTTTTTTTTGAGGTACATACTGCATGAGAGCAAACAAGCAGAATGGTCAACGGGAGGTAAGCGATTACCACCGCCCATACACCTGCAACTCCTGTAAGTCACAAGTGCTTTACCATGCTTTGAGTCTTTCCCCCAGAATCAGGGTTTGCGCTCCGTTAACATCACTCACTCGGTGAAAAGCACCAGAAGAACTGCTTAACACCGTGTTCTGTGAGGCCGTGGTATCACTCAAGTCGAGCCGACCCACTTGTGAAGAAGCATGGCAAAGCATGGCACCACATCGTCACAGTTTGGTATTATTAAAAAATCTATTCGTCAGAGTACTTATTTATAATGTACTTCTGTTTAACTTGTTATTAGTCAATTTATATTCGAATTCCGTAGAAAGGTATTGTGGATTGAACATTTCTACTTCTTTTGAATAGTATCAGTTCATGGTCTGCTTCACAAAATAGGGGCCATTCATAAATTACGTCACACGTTAATGTTAAAATATTGTGAAATAGAATTTATAGATTCATGGAATCTTTGTAATGTTGCTTTATAAAAAAAATAACCTAAGGTATAATAATATTTAAAAGCTTGTAATAAAGGCGGAACGGTTTTTTTTAATGAAGAATTGACTAGCACCGATTCTCTGTGAGGCTATCTTCTCCGTCGAGCTCACCCATACATATTACCATGTGCCATGCGACGGTTCTCATACCGTGACTGGTTTCTGCTAGTGTCAAATACCCAATAATTCTCCAAAGCCACCAGAAAACTGGATTCCAATGTGCTCATAGTGTTAGTTACACCGTAATTAGAATTAACGAATTACACATTTAAGAATTGGCCATTTCATGATGTCTCCGACCATTACAAGAAATATTTATATTTCCTGGACCTGGTTAAATCAATGAATATTGATTTTTGATGTCGATTCGTCACGATATTTCAAAAAATTCAAACGATCTCGAAATTGTGCACACTTCTTGTCGATAACATTATCTAGTGCTTGAACAAAGGACATTTTCTTCTATTGGATCTCATTTTAAGAGTCAAAACGTGTGTAAATTTTACACTGTTCATACCACCACCAAAAATTCAA